TTTCCTTCCTGTTTGACCGATGTAGTGTTATTTAACCTACATTAAACACTACAGGCTAGGCAGAGACAAGCACGAGAATTCCTGGAAGCATGGGACTCCACGAAGCAGGCTATTAATAAACACATTGAACTCGACCCCATATACATTCCACTACGGAGGAAACCCGGAAGTGAGGCAATCCATCGCAACGGACCCGAGAGTTTAAAAACCAGGCGGGAAAACACACCGACGCTTCATCAGAGGCTGCACTGAGGATATTACCAAGCACGGTAACGGAACGTCTGCGGAACAACAAACCAGCTCGGCGAGCCAACCAACCTCAAAATCAACAAATAATAGGAGAATGTAAAAAGAATAGAGGACACTTAAGGGTGACTTTAATCTTCATGTTGATCCCCTTAGGATGTAATGATCATAGCATGATAGAATTTAATATTCAATTCGCAAGTGAGAAAATTGGGTCAGAAATAACTATGTTTAACTTGAATAAAGGCAATTACAGTAAAATGAGAATCAAGTTATCTAGAGTGAACTGGTGGATAAGTTAGCAGGAATGATAGTAAGCAAGCAGCAGCAGTCATTTAAGGAGGTAATTTATGACTCTCGGCAAAAATACATCCCAGTATTGAGGAAAGAGTCTAAGAGAGAGGTAAATCAACTATGGCTAACCAAGGAAGTTAAGGAGCCTATTGAAAGAAAAAGCCTGAGGCCAAAGTCAGTGATAGCCCCGAAGACTGGAATAAATTCAGAATCCAACTAAGGAGGACTGAAAAGATAATGAAGACAGAGAAAATGAACTACAAGGACAAGCTAGCAAGGAATATTAAAATTGACAATAAGAGCTTCTTTAAATATATAAAAAGAAAGAGAGAGGTCAGTGTGAACATAGGCCCCTTACAAAATGAACTGGGGACACTATTTTAGGGGACAAGGAAGTGGTAGCGGAGTTAAGCAGATATTTTGCATCAATCTTTAAGATGGAAGATACTTCAAACAGCCCATTAATAATAAAGAGTCCACGGGAAGATAGATGGGAAGGCAGGTTCTGAGAGGACTGAAAACAGTTTACAAAGAGATGTTGATAGGTTAAATAAGTAGGCAAAAAGTTGACAAATGATTGATTTGATTTATTCATGTGTATCTAAGTACAGTGAAAAGCTTTGTTTACGAACAGTACAGGCAGATCACAGTAAGCAAGGACGTACAGATCACAGGGTGAAGAAAAAAACTTGGACGGAAGCGTACAGGTTACATCGCACAGGGTGTGCACTAGGCAAGATAAACATTAGCAAGATCTGCATTATTTGAAGTTAGAGAGACTATTCGTCAGTCTAATAATGGCATGGAAGAAGAAGTTCTTGACCCTTCTGGTGCGTGTGTTCAAGCTTCTGTATCTTCTGCCCGATGGAAGAGGTTGTAGGAGAGCATTACTGGGTTGGGATGGCTCCTTGATGTTGGCAGGCTTTCTGTGCAATGAGCCATGTAAATGGAGTCCATGGTTGGAAGGTTGTCTTCCGTGAAGGTCTCGGCTGTGTACACAACTTTTTGTAGTTTCTTATGGTCCTGGGCAGAGCAGTTGCCATACCCAGCCATTATGCACCCTAGCAGTATGCCTTTAATGGTGCATCTGTAAAAGTTGGTGAGGGACCTCGTGGACATGCCAAATTTCCTGAGCCATCTGAGGAAGAAGAGACATTGTAGTGCCTTGTTGACCATCGGGTCTACATGGGAAGTCCAGGACAGGTTGTCGGTTATCGTCACTCCTAGGAACTTGGCATTCCCAACCCTCTCACCATCAGCTTCATTGATGTAGTTGGGGGCGTGTTCTCCTCCCTTCTTTCTGAAGTCAATGATCAGTTCTTCAGTTTTGCCAACGTTGAGAGAGAGGTTGTTCTCATTGCACCATGTCACCAAGCCCTCAGTATTCTGCCTCATCGTTGTTTGATATCCATCCTACCACGGTGGTGTCATCAGCAAACTTGTAAATGGCATTTTTTTGGAATTTAGCAACATATGGGCGTACAGGGAGTAAGTAGGGGTCTGAGAACATCCTTGGGGACTTCCAGTGTTGAATTTTATCTTGGAGGATGTGCAGTTGTCTTTCTTCACTGATTGTGGTCTCTGGGTCAGAAGGCTGAGGATCCAGATGCAGAGGGCAAAGCTGAGACCTAGGTCTCGGAGTTTGGAATTCAGTCTGGAGGGGAGTATAGTGTGGGAAGATGTAAAGTTGTTCATTTGGGAAGGCAGAACAAAAGAACAGTTTTATTTAAATGGAGAAAAACTGTAGAAAGATTTCAAAAAAGGGACTTGATGGTACTTGTACATGAAACATGAAAGCTAAAATGCAGAAACAGCAGATAATAGGAAGGCTATTGGAATGTTGTCCCTTATTTTAAGGGTGTTGAAGTATAATAATAGGGAAGTCTTACAGCAACTATACAAGGTGCTGAGAGCATATCTGGAGTACTGGTGAGCAGTTCTGGTCAGCTTTTTAATTAATTCATAGGATTTGGGCGACGCTGGCCAGGCAGCATTTATTGCCCATCCCTGATTGCCCAGAGGGCAGTTAAAAGTCAAACATATTGCTGTGGGTCTGGAGTCACATGTAGGGCAGACCAGCTAAGGATGGCAGTTTCCTTCCATAAAAGACATTCGTGAATCAGATGGGTTTTTCCGACATTCAACAATGGACTCGTAGTCATCAGTAGACTCTTAATTCCAGTTTTTTTATTGAATTCAAATTCCATCATCTGCCGGGGCTGAGTTTGAAGCTGGGTCCCCAGAACGTTACCTGGATCTCCACACAATCTGGTTGTAATACCACGAGCACATATCATTTCATTGAAGGCAGCTCATAGAAATTTCATTAGAATGATCCCTGATAGGGAGGGATTGTCTTATCAGCTAAGGCTAAGTAGGTTGGGACTCTATTCATTGGAATTTAGAAGAACGAGAAGTGATTGTATTAGGATACAGGATTCTTAAGGGGCTTGACAGGATAAATAGTGAGGAGATGTTTCCCCTCAAGGGAGAGTCTCAAAATAAGGCTTAGATGAGGAGGAGTTTCTTCTCTGAGAAGGTTGAGAGTCTTTGGAACTGCTTGCCATAGAGAGCTGTAGGGGCAGAGTCTGTGTCTATATTTATGGCTGAGATAGATTCTTGATCAGTAGGGGAATTAAAATTAGCTTTATTGTCACATGCATTCACATGAGTACAGTGAAAAGTTTACAAGTCACCACTTATGGCATCATCTTATGTACAAAAGTAATTAGGTACAGATTCTTTAGTACAAACTCCTGGGGGGGGGGGGGGGGGGGGGAAATAGAAAAATAAAGACATTAAAAAGCCCAGCATTACTGACCTTTGCGCCATCTTAGGTACAAAAGTACAAAGTCATGGGAATAAATTAGAAATATAAAGTTGAAGGTTACAGGCAAAATGCACGAAAGTGGATGAGACGAATGTCAGATCGACCATGATCCTACTGAATGGCTGAGCAAGCTCAAGGGGCCAATTAGTCTATTCCCGTTCCTATTTCTTTTGGTGAGCAATACCCTTATTGCCTCCCCAGAGACTTTCCACCAGTTATAAGGCACAAGTCAGAAGTGCCTGGACGAGTGCAGCTCAATGCTATCTGAACAAAGTAGTTCACTTGATCTTGACTGGGGTAGCATTCTGGAATTCACACCCTTCTATTCCTGGAATCAGCACAAAAGTTAAAGAGCTTTAAAAATGTGCAGAGTTCCCCAATTTAAATTGGAACTTTCAAACCCAGGTTAATCGAAAGCATGGACCAGGTTTCTGTACTTAACAAGGAATACTGTTGATTACAAATAAGTGGATTGTAGCTGCAGGTAAGCAACTGTGATCTGTCAGCACATAAGTCAAATGGGTAAAAGTCTAATTCCCTTATAAACTCTAAGCCCCACCGCCCCCCCCACCAATAACACATGCAAGCAGACAGATGGGGGAAAAAATGTGTATCTTATAGGGCGGAGGGACAAACTGGGGAAGCAGTTCAGTGATCCCTGTTCACAAGTTTTATTATGATTCTTGTGCTGGTTAAACATCTGCTTCTTGATCTAGTTTTTACTTGTTTGTAAGAGGCACAGGGTGACTGTGTCACACTTATAAAGATTTCTGTCTTATTAATTAAAATGTAATTAATTAAAATTAATTAAAACCACTGCTTACAGCAACTGTGAAAGTGAAAATGTATTGTTTTCTTCAGGCTTAGAATGGTTTTTTACTACAGGAGCAGTTCTTGAGGTTACAATAGAATCTGATAGTTTCTCACTAACCCATTCAGCTACCTCGGAGCCAATCTCATAGTTGTTGGCAGGCATAAAGCCTTTGTCATCAATAACTGGTCACTAAATGGCAGACAAATCAGCTATTTGTTGTCAGCTGAATCTCCATTTGTACACACCATGGCTCCAGCTCATTTGCACCTTCTCATATTGCTGCTTGAATTAGCAGCAGTGTAAACGGCACTTATGAGGGTAGATTACTTGTTTTCAAATGCAGCAATCCCTTAGCAATCCTTGGTTTTTAAGACAGTTATTTTTGTATTTCACTCCACAATGAAAATTACAGAAAAGTAGAGACAGTCTTTTCAATATCTCATCCACTACTTTAAGTATTAGTTCCCACTGCCATCTACACAGTTCACTTCAATTCTCTGGAACTTTTTTGAAAATACTTTCAAAAACACTACATCTCAACACCTAGGACGAGGGAAGGAGGCAAATTCACCTCTGTCATACACTTTCCGACAGCAGCGCAGTGCTATCCCATTTGCGCTGAAGCATCAGTCTTGATTATATTCTCGAATCTCAGCAGTGGACTGGGAACTAATGATCCTCTACTTCAACCAGCAGTGCTGCCACTTAAACATGGCTAACAGCACACCCCCCAAAAAAAATCCGATAGTAAGGGGATTCATTAAAATTTTCAGACTCTCATTATTAATTTTTTTATTCATTTCCAAATCTCTGCAGTATTTCGGTTCTGGATTTTCCTTACTGTGTTGTACATGAACTCCCTGAACTGACGGCAGAGAGCTTGGTAAGTAAGCATACATGTGACCTGAAGTGCTTTCTGTGTGACCTTCCAGGAAGGATTACAAGGACTGGATGTTTTTGCAGAACACAGGAGGTTTCAGGAGATGCAAACTTCCTTGCTGTATAATTGAATTTTGTTTTAAGAAGTGAAAATTATGTAAATATCATTGATTGTGCATAGAATACAAGTAGTCCTATTCTTTAAGGATTTGTCCAATGGCAAATGTGATTACCCACATGCGGAAAGAAAAATTGAGTACCTTGATTTTGTATTTTTAAAAACACCCCAATTGTCTGCAGCACAAATTACTTCATTTATATAACTCGTGGGTAATATATAAAATTTTGCTGCAAACATGCAGGTAAAATAACTTAGAACAATTTGGTTCATTATTTTGGAGCGAAGAATAATAAAAGCCGAGATAAATTAAGTTGTACTATTTTGAAAAGGTGTGCATGAATAAAGAAACTTATTGATGTGTACAGACACAAATCTGTGAAGACAGTAGAATCAATTGATAAAGCTGACTTAAAAATAAATACAGTATGTTAAGACTTAGAAAAGGATGCAGGTAGGGATATTCAGGGGAGACTTAATAAAAACATTTAAAATTATACGAGGTCTAGAGAATAAATGAGAAAGTGTTTCCATGACAGAATGGCCATCAAAAGAACCAGAAAGAACATGAGAATTTATTTACTGGAGCAAGTTGTTTGAGATTTGGAACACTATTTCCTCAATGTCATCAGTTGTCCCTCAATTCGAGGATGGTATCTACTCTAGTAATAAGTTTACGTACAGAAATGTAAAAGTTGAACACGAGTAGGCTGCTGAGCACCAAGACCTGCTCTGCCATTCAGTAAGATCATGGCTGATCCAACGTACCTCACATTCACTTTCCTACCCTCTCCCTGTAACCCATGATTCCCTGATGATTGAGAATCTGTCTGTTCCAGCCTTGCAAGCTTACTGAACCCGCAGCTCTCTGTGGCAAGGAATTTCAAAAACAGAGAACCATCTCAGTGAAGAAATTCCTCTTCATTTCAGTCTTAAATTGGCACCCCTTTATTCTCAGAGTATGACCTCTGGTCCTATACTTTCCCATTAGGGGAAACTTCCTGTCAGCATTTACCCTATCAAGCCTTAAGAATCCTATATGTTTCAATGAGATCACCTCTCATTCTTCTAAACTCCAGTGAGCAGAGTCCCAACCTGTTTAGCTGTTGCTCATAAGACAATCTCTCCATTTCAAGGATCATCTGAGTGAACTTTCTCTGAACTGCTTCCAATGAAATGATCTCTTTCCTTAAATACGGGGACGAAAACTTCAGACGTGGGCTCACCACTATCTTGTACAGTTGCAGTAAGACATCCTTAGTCTTATACTTCAACTGCCATGAAATAAGGGCCAACATTTCATTACCCTTCCTGGTTATCTGCTGCAAGTGTGTGCCAACTTTTTGTGTTCCATGCACCCGTACCCCCAAGTCCTTTAGCCACAAGCTATATCTACCTCTTTCTTGAAAATACTCAATCTTTTGGCCTCAACCACTTCCTGTGGTAGTGAATTCCACAGGCTCACCACACTCTAGATGAAAAAAATTTCTCCTCATCTCAGTCCTAAAAGGTTTACCCCTTAGGCTTAAGCTACGATCCCTTGTTCTGGTTTCCCCCACAATCGGGAACAGCCTCCCTGCACCTAACCTGTCTAGTCCTGTTGGAATTTCATAGGTTTCTATGAGATCCCCCTCATTCTTCTAAACATCAGTGAACACATGTTAACCAACTCAATTTCTCCTGAGCTGTCAGTCCTACCATCCCTGGAATCCATTTGGAAAATCTTCACTACTCTCCCTCTATAGCGAGAACCACCCTCCTCAGATAAGGAGACAACAATGTTCCATGTACAATCTCACCAATTCCCTACGTAATTATGTGATTCTACCACTGTTTTGTAAGTGCTGTGCTAAAAATTGCTAATAATGTACTGTAGCTTCTTCCACACTATCAAACACACTAGGCTATAATTCTCTCTGCCTCCCTTTTTAAATAGTGGGATTACATTAGCTACCCTCCAATCTACAGGAACAATTCCAGGACCTAAAAAATCTTGGTAGATGACAATCAATGCATCCAATATCTCTAGGCCACTTCCTTGAATACTCTGTGATATAGATTATCAGGCCCTGGGGATTTATCAGCCTTCAATTCCATCAATTTCTCCGACATCATTTCTCGACGAGTACAGATGTGATTCAGTTCCGCCTGCTCACTAAGCCCTGTGTTTCCCATCATTTCTGGCATAGTACCTTGTGAAGACAGAAGCAAAGTATAAATTTAGATGTCAGTCATTTCTTTGTTCCCTTTTATAAATTCCTCTGTTTCTGGCTGTAAAGGACCTACATTAGTTTTCACCGATCTTTTTCTTTTTACATCTACATAGAAACTTTTACAGTCAGTTCTCATGCTCACTACAAGGTTACTCTCATACTCTGTTTTCCCCCTTCTTAAGCAAACACTTGGTCCTCCTTTGCTGACTTCTAAACTGCTCCCAATCCTCCTGTATTATTTTCTCTTGCCAATTTTTATGCCTTTTTTTTTGCTAATATTAACCTAATACTATCTCTAACTTCCTTCATAAGCTATGATTTGGCCACTATTCTCTGCACTCTTGCGCCAGACAGACATAAACAATTTTTGTAGTTCAGCCATTCGCTCTTTGAATGTTTGCCATTGCCTTATCCACTGTCATTCCTTTCAGTAACATTTCCCAATCCATCATAGCTAATTCACACCTCATACATCATAATTTCCCTCATTAAGATTCGGGACCCTAGTCTCAGAATTGACGACCTCACTCTACAGCTTGATGAAGAATTTAGTCGTGTTTACAGAGTTTAATCTGAACAAGTGTGAATTGATGCATTTTGGGAGGTCAAATGCAAAGGAAAGTATACAGCAAATAGTAGGACATTTAGGACCTTTGATATACAGAGGCGTCTTGGGGTCCACGCCCATAGCTCCCTAAAAGTGGCAACACTAACAAGTAAGGTGGTAATGAAGACGTACTGCATACTTGCCTTCATCAGTCAGGGCATTCAGTATAAAAGTTGGCAAGTCATGTTGCAGCTGTATAAGACTATAGTCAGGCCACTGACATAAGGTTCACCAGCCTGTTATTTTCCGGATTATCCCTGTTGCTCTTCTCCAGTCCTCTGAGACCTCTCCTAAAGATGATCTGATTTGATTTATTGTTGTCACATGTATCTGATTACAGTGAAAAGTTTAGTTTTGAAAGCCGTGCAGGCAGAACATAGCAAACAAGGGCATACAAATCCTAGGCTGCTTAGACAGAGCGAGGCATACAGGTTATGGCTACACAGGAGATGCACAAAGCAAAATCAACTTTGGAAAGATTGTCATTATTTGAAATTAGAGATGTCCATTCAGCAGTCTAATAACAGCAGGGAAGAACAGTTCTTGAATCTGTTGGTGCGTATTTTCAAGCTTCTGTATCTTCTGCCCAATGGAAGAGGTTGGAAGAGAGCATTACCGGGGTTGGAGAGATCTTCGATTATGGCAGCTTTTCCACGGCAATGAGAAGTGTAAATGGAGTCCACGGATGGGAGGTTGGCTTCTGTGATGGTCTGTGCTGTGCAGTTGCCATACCAAGCTGTTGTGCACCCGGATAGATTGCTTTCTGTGGTCCATCTGTAAAAGTTCGTGAGGGTCCTTAAGGCTATGCCGGATTTCCTAAGCCGCCTGAAGAAGGAGAGGCATTGTTGTGCCTCTTTGACTGTTGCATCTACATGACAGGTTGTTGGTTATCATCATTCCTAGGAACTTGGCACTTTCAACCTTCTCCACCTCAGTTCTGTTGATGTTGATAGGAGCGTGTCCTCCTGCTTTCTTCTTGAAATCAGTGGTCAGTTCTTTTGTTCTGCTGACATTGGTTTCTTAGCGGGCTCAAGCAATTTCTTCACCTGCCTCCCTCAGCAATCTGGGATAGATTCCACTAGATCCTGGGGGCTTGTCTACCTTAAAGCTTTTCACAACACACAACACCACCACCATGACATGCCCTAGAATATCAGCATACCCCTCCTGTGACTCACCATCAACCGGGTCCTCCTCATTTGTGAATACCAATGCTAAGTATTCGTTTAGGACTTCACCCACTTCCTGCCACTCAACACATAAATTCTTTCCTTTGTCTTGAGTGGATCTACCCTTTCCTACAACAGGGATAGTGTGTAACATGGCTGAATTTACAGATGATACAAAAATAGGTGGGAAAGCAGGCTATGATGAGATAAAAGAGTTTACAGGTGGATATTGAAAAGCTAGGTGAATAGGCCAGAATCTGGGGCAGATGGAGTTTAATATGAGAGGCAGATTCAAAGTATATTAGCACAGAGGCATCTCAGCATCTTTGTGCATGAGTCACAGAAAGTGGGTCTGCAGCTGCAACATTTAGTAAGAAGGGCAAATGGAATCCCGGCATTTATTACAAAAGGATTAGATTATAAAAATAAAGAAGTGTTGTTACATTTATATAAGGCATTGGTGAAACCACCCCTGGAGCATTGTGTCTAGTTTTGGTCTTCTCATTTGAGGAAGGATGTGATGGTACTGGAAGCATTTCAGAGGAAGTTCACCAGATCGATTCCTCCCTCGGGCGACTATTTGTGTGAGTTTCCCCCATGTTTGCGTGGGTTCTCTGTGGGTTCTCTGGTTTCCTCCCACTGTCTAAAGATGTGCAGGTTAGGTGGATTGGCCATGGGAAATACAGGGTTGCAGGGATAGGGTAGGATATTCTTCGGAGGGTCAGTGGACTCAATGAGCTGAATGGCCTGCTTCCGCTTTGCAGGGATACTATGAAAGAGTTGTCGTTTGAGAAGTGGTTGAATAGCTTGGGCTTGTACTCGCTGGAGATCAGAAGAATGAGGGGGTCTCTGATTGAGGTATATATTTCATATACCTCAATCAGAGACCCCCCTCAT